CGATGGGACTTCTTGAGCAACTGAAGGGCAAGGAGATTCCGACATCAAAGAAGATATGGGAGGCTATTCAGGCGTTATTTGCGGCGATGAATGAGGTACAAGAGAACGTAGCCTCGAGATTTGGGTCCAAGACAAAGGTGGTGTTTACCACATCCCCAGGATACGCCAGCATGCCACCCGCCCTACAATTCGTGTATGCGGTCTTAATCTTGATAGCGGAAGGGAGTGAATGGCGGATTCTGATGGCAGCCCCCAATCGAGAGCTGGAGCCAGTAAACTTGAGACTTTACAGATCAGAATTACCAGCGGCATGGGCTGACATATCTCATGCGCTGAGGGGCTTTTACGGACTAGCCGATGTCTTGATTGTATTGGATGAGGTACTCTTGCTAGAGATATCGAACTTTGCTAGACAACTCAAGTTCAGCCCAGTCATCGGGGACGACCACCCGGCGATAAACCAGTTGACGGCCAGCCTGTGGTTCCGGAGTATGGATGTGAAAGTCGCAAATTCCACCAGCAGGACTAGAGGTCCCGGCAACGAGAGAAGAAATGTGGTCGAGACGGAGAAACAGTTAGAATCGATGAAATATCGCTTGACCCAAGAGAATGGCTGGTGGCCATTCCTGACACCAAGGCTGGAGAACGCCACGAATAAAACGAGGGAGGAAGCACCACTCCTCGTGAAACAAATCTGGAGTTTTCTAGAGAAGCAACTGGAGCTAGCTGAAAGGAGAGACATGACGGTGGTTAGATTTGTCTCGGCCGCCAATGAAGTGACGATTGGAGGATTTTGGAGAGAGCACGCCAACGGCGAATTGAAGACTAGGAGAGATTACGAGATTCTCAAGTTCTTGAGTCCTTGCTGGGAGAGAGAATTCTTGGCAGGAGTGTTCGGCACCACGGCGACTATCTTCGGAGCCTTCGTGCAGGAGATACTGGGCATGCCCATCAGCCTGCTCTTGGCCCTGTATTTGGTCTACCCCAGATACTTGTTCAATATGGGTCCAGCATATATGTTTAGTCGGGGAGTGGAGACACTTCGAGTTGATGGGTACCTGGCACTAGTGCTCTTGACCCATGGGGAATTGGTGTCGTTTCATCGGTTAATGGAATATGGAGAACCTCTGTCTATGGGGAGAGTCCACACGAGCATTGAAACCAGCTCCTACAAGTGCGCCGCAGGGTTGAAGACACTACTGGTGCAATACCTCATGATGCAGAATCGATACATGACGGGTGAAGATGAGAACCCAACCTCGAGAGAAGAATGGGAGAAGGCGAACAGAGGGATGCCTCTGTTGACGGACCTGTGTCTGGCAATGAGGTCGGACCCAATGGGGATAATCCGAGGTCTGGAGGAGGTGGTGACCTGCATCTATGGTCCAGCAGTGACGTACGCGTTTCCAGATCCCCTGGTGATAACGTATCGTCACTCGGTGACGCACTTGAGTCTCATCAGCGTACTGGATGGTGCAGCGCTGAATTGGTGTCAGCAGGAAGTGCTCAGGGCGCGTATGAGCAACACGGTACTCTTCGGAAAAGTGAAAGATGCTGAGATGATGGTGTGCAATTTCAGGGGACAAATGCAATGCAGAATGGGAGGCAAGCGAGAGGGCCCTATTGAAATGTATCCCAAATTCTGGAACTTGAACCCATTGACGGCGGACGGACGAGAAATCTTGAGAATTCCTGCCTGGAAGGAGTGCTTCGCACTGGTGAAGAGGGAGCTAGAGACCATAATGGAGAAAGAAATCCTCCCGGCAACCATGCCTGAGTTCCCAATAGTCAGGAGGATGACCTTAGGAATGAATAGTCCCTTGGTAGTTCCCTCCATAATGGCGAGGATGAGAGCGGAGGAAATGCAGAAGGATTTCACTGATGGCTGGGACCCCCTGTTCATTGGCTACACGGCGGCGGTCTACTTCCATACCAGCGAGATGAAGGTAAATTCGTGGACGACGCAAGCAAAAAAGAGTAGAGGTTCGCAGCCCCCTGGATATGAGGTGCGGAAAGTCTTGAGGACTCTTGAGAAGGAAGGACTTGAGAATATGCTACCCATATGGGATGATGGCAGGATGATCGTGATGGAGGGACACGTCGCACTGGTGGACGACATGAAATTTGCCACGAGAAAATATAAGGCGCCCTATGGCTTGGAACAGGTGGAAATAAGACAGGAAGGAACAGAACTAGATGCAGCAGGTCAACTGCACGTAGCACTGACGGAATACAAAAAGCTGGATCCCGCGACACCATCACCACTGTCCGTGGACACACCTGGAGACAAGAGGAGCGGACCCGTCGAGGACCGATTTAAGAAAATTCTCGAGAGAAGGAGACATGAGTCAGAAGAAGAGAGTATGGATGAAACTCTCAGTGAAGCTGGTGAAGACATGGAAGTGGGGAATACGCCTGAACCAGGGCCATCAGGGGAGGAGCTCACCACTCAAGAGCTGTTGAAAGATTTGAGCGAGGAGAATTGGGCAGATACTGCCACACCACCCCTGATTCCGTCTCCACGGAAGAACCTAGAGTTGCCATTGGCAGGTGAAACCTTCAATATGGGGATGTTACTCTTGAGCTCGGAGGAAAGGGAGAAGAACACGTTCGAAGGGAATAGGGACATATTCTTGGGATCTCTCGAGGATGACGCTTGGCAGGAGTTCCTGGAGGAATTCAATCGAGAAGTGGGCAGCGAGACGACGCTGGACAAGTTCAAGAAGGAACTGTGGGACGCAGTAGTGAGATTCGGGGAACCGCTCCTGATAGGAACGGGCCTGGATGAGAAAGCAAGAAAAGAGCTGCTGAACAAGCTAGTGGAGCTGAGGAACGCACGATCGAAGACTAGAAAAGAGAAATGTGAGGACAGCTCTACTCTGAAACGAAAAACTGTGGATAAAATGGTTGATGATATAAAAAGGGATAAGGTTGGGACTAGTAATATGATTAAAAGTACTAATATCCTTAAGGCTCGAGCAGGGGGGAGGCAAGAGTTGGAAGGAGTGGATGGAGAGGTAGAATCAATGATGATAGCCACCACACCCTCGAGCAGAGACGTGAAGACTCGCAAGAGGAAGAGAGAAGTGGAAGGATGGGGTAGTCCTTCAGTGGATGCTGTTTCGGAAGGAAACTTGAGAGAGACGGCGCCCATCGTTTTGGCCCGATGCAAGACGGCGGCATACAAGAACAGCTCGGAACTCAGGAAACCACTTGAAGTAGAAAAGGAAATAGAGGTTTCCACCAGTTCTACGTCAGAAGAAGAATTCAAGCCTCAGAAGGTAAACGTGAAGAGAGGTTCAACGAACGGACAGGTAGGGGAAGTGGAGATCGGCAAAGAATGGATCTCGAAGGCACATCAGGACATGAGCAAACAAGTGACGAGTGATCCATTGGAGAGGAACAAGACGAGGAACACTTCCCGGACGTGGTGGGTGGCCCTCGAAACATTGAAGGAAATGGAGGACTGCTTGAAGAAGTTGGATAGTGGAATAGCTCACAGGCGACGCAATTGGGCCACCCAGCAGAAAGCCGAGGTTAATAAGATAGAGATGGCAAGTCATCTGAAGAGGTCCTGGCAGAGTTTGTTGAAGGATCATTTTGAAGAGGCGATGAGAACATCCTCATCAGCACCGCCACTAATGGCGAATCCCTTCGTTAGAACTGCGGGACAATTAATGTTCACCTGGAGTCTGGTGGGAATAGAGTTGGAGACATTGACCTCGTATGACAGGCTGAAGCTGGGAAGCAAGAAGCTAGAGGTGTATCAGGCACTGATGCAACACGTGGCCAGGGACAATTCAGGCTTGAGCCTGGCTAGGAGAAAAGATGCCACATGTTTCTTGAGATGGACAATGTCAATGATGTCTGATAGCGCCATCCTGGCATGCCACCAGAGAGCAAGTGGAAGTAAAACCATGGAGAGAAGGGTCTCAACGATCATCTTGAATGTATATCAAAGTACAGGAATAGAGAAAGAAGATGGTTCCAGACTATCCTTAGAGAGCCACCGAAAGCTGGACGAGGTACGGAGGTTCTCTAATAAGAAGTTCGAGGAAGAACATGATGTTCACCGTAACCTGGCCTCGTCAGAACAGTACTCGAGACTCAGTGAGAAGGGGGAATACCAATACGTGTCTGGAGTGCTGGGAATAGCCTACAATCCCTTCTTAGACTCGGAAGCTGGAGGAGCCCACAGAAACCATGAGGTAGCGGAGCTGCTGAAGTTTTGGACAGAAAGAATAATGGAGATAGACGCGGTGGAGAAAGAGGGGCCGAGCCTGGGCCTGATTCTTGAGAAAACACCAGAGGTGATAAGCATGCCGCGCTCAAACAAGAGAGTTGAAGTAAACATGGGCGGTGGAAATGGCTTGTTAACCACGAACTTGGGAGTGATATGGAAGCTACTAAGACCCTCCTGGTGTCCACATCCCCATGCGAGTCTAATCGAGGAAACCACCGAGCGAGTGAGGTTAGCACCAACGGAAGATGAAGATCTGGCGAAGTTAAGTGTGCTGCATAAGCTAATCACGCCCCAGATGCAA